CTCATTCTCAAGACTTTGCGAGACCACAATGTTGCAGTACAAACCCACGGCCGGATGGCGCTCTGTCTGTTATGCGAATACGGGTATGGCGGCAACTATTCGGAACATTCTTGGAGCCATAGATAGTTATCTTATCATCGAAGGATAGCTAATCTGACAGTGTAAATGTATGGCAACGTTGTAGGCAGGAATGCATTGCCGAGCTACGGCATGTAGTGGACACGGATCTGTTGGAGCTGGCCATGGCCGAGTACCCAGAGTCCCTCTTGGCTACAACAGGTCGACAGCCTGAAGAGGTGGCAACTGAAGCGAGTATGTTGTGCGTCATCCCTGAGGGTGACGAAGGCGACGTCGCCAACGCCTGGGATGATTTGTCGACGGTGCTCATTGGGGACTCATCCCCCCCTCGAAGCGGCGACCAGCTGGACTGGAGCGTGTCGAGACTATTGAAGATGAAGACAACGGCGCAGACGAAAATTGGCGTGAGTCGGCGATGGCTGCCGTGGCCAACAAACTCGACGACAGCTGGGATGACTTGTCGACGGTGCTCATTACAGAGTTGTCGCCCCCTCAAAGCGGCGACCAGCTGGACTGGAGTGAGTCTATGATTGAAGTCGATGCCCATGATGACGGTGCTGACAACGATTGGCGTGAGCCGGCGGTGGCTGCCGTGGCCACCCAATTCGACAACAGCTGGGATGATTTGGCGTTGTCATCGACCTCATCGGTGATTGATGTGCCAACGCTTGACTCGACCCGGGGCCGGTCCATTCTGAACTCGATAGACGGTTTGTCGTCTATAATTGACAACGTCATAGCGACAGAGACTCGCCGCCAAGCAAGATCCATCCTGCGATGGTCCAACCTCTTTCGGCAGCATTGGCGATCACCGGCCCTCCAGCACACAGCCTTCCGCTGCCCAAGTTTTGTGTTCCCTCATCTATCAACCGAACCATAGTACCCACAGAGAACGAAAGGAAGGCCGTAATCTCCCCGGATCAGTCGGTTGCTACCAACAACGCTACTGCTCCTGCTGATCACATCGATGGCGCACGTCCGTCCGTCCAAGTCGGGCGCCGCCGCTCGTATCTCAGCCTTGTGTGGGAGACCATGTGGCGCATCCTATGGGTCGGCTACGTAATGTTTGCAGTACGTTTCCACTTCTATCTTTCCACCAAGCATCATTGTGCCCTTTCGTAGGTTGTTGGCGTGAACGATGCAGTACGAGCGTCATCACTCCAAGATGCACCAAGGTGCAATTGGGAGCCCACTGCGACCAATCGGCTGGTAAATCCGGTCAGCAACTGGAGGCCTTGACCAAGACAGTTGTCGAATGGACGGCTGCGATGAACGTGCCAAAGCATCAGGTTCAACTCCCATTTGAGGAGTCCCACAAGGTTTCGTGGGACACTGTCATGGAGGACTTGCGCCGTCGACTCGAATTGGAGCCCATGGCACGCCATGGTAGTTAGTACATAATTTAGCTATTTTGAGAATATATATTGATCTTAACAATATTAAGGCGTTTGTGGTATAATCCACGGGTGCTTGAGAATGATCTCCAACGGCAGGCAATGGATCGGGTCTTTGATATGGAGTAAATCCCTCGCTTTGATGGAAATAAACATCGCAAATCCACGGATTGAATGCGGTTGTATGGGGATGTGGTGTCTGTGGCTTCAAGTGGCGGCGTACCGACTGATAACTCGTACATGAGCACTCCAAATGTCCAGATGTCCACCTAAAAGTCAGATTTCAGAGGTCGTACAACAATCCACAATGACAATAATATATTAATATCATAATACTATTAATACGTAGTACTACGTATATTGGAATACTTACAATTATTAATACGTAATATATTGATTATATGAACAATCCAATACAATACTATTAATAGTATACTGCTTGAAGTACACTGTATTAATAGTAGGTACTACTACACCACTTCCCGTTCAAGTTGAAATCAATTTCCAGTTCAATTTGAACGGGAAATGGTGTAGTATTATTATCAGTGTAGAATTGTCCGGTTACATCGCGCAACTTTATCCGATGTGTACATGATGTGTACATACTATTATTAATAATAGTACTACTACCTGTGATTGCACGAGTGTAAGTTTACGGTACAATTTATTATATTATACAGTTTATTGCACGGACACTTTACCACAAATATATTCGATACCTGTATAAATAGGGTTTGACAAATATAAATTTACAAAACTTATACGTGAGCACAGTCAAAAATGATCCCACTGTTTTTCGTGGAGAAATCAGCTGTCATTCCTATTTAGGACCTTTGGGGGCTCTAATTGGATTCCATTTGAAATTTTGTATTCAAAAGTACTCCTAATTTGTGAGAGTACCCTAATTTCACACCTGAAATGTCCATTCGTGCAATCATTTTCGGACAGAGGTAGTAGTACTAAGGTAGTGCATCAATCTTCTGAACGGCATGAAACTTCCGAACGATTCGAGTTTTATCCAATCAGATTACTCTAATTTGGCGTAAACATCACTGATTGGTAGTGATAATATTCATGGCAGTAATTACTACTTGGAGTTCACACGAAAACCCAACCAATTATAATCACGCCAAACTAAATTAATACGAAGTAATGATTTAGCAGCATATACTTGACTGTGGGTATGGGCGTCAAGCTCGTGGATGTTGCCTCGGTTGAAGGCGATTGCCATCGCTTCGACGTTTGTTGACCTTTCCAAACCAACGGTGAGCAGTAAGACCCCCAATTGGTTCAAAATTGATTTCGTACCTGTGGTGTTTGTGGCCGATGTCGTTGCCTCGTAAGTTCTCTCGCATGTACATGTAAAAAGCGAATGGAATCAAGGACGCCGTTGGCACGGGATCGTGTATCAAGACAAGGGGTACGCGAAGACATTCTGTTCTTACCTGCGAAGCCGGTTGTGCGCAAACGCGTCAAGACCAACGGCGAGTGGCATTCCATCGAGGACCTTCATGCGGCCCCAGCGAAATGGCAAAAGCGCAGTGAATCGTTTTACTCGTTGTTTTTAAATTTGATCCAAATTTAATTACTAGTAATACAGCTTTGAATCCAGTGGAGAATGCCAGTATTATATTGAATCGAATTTTAATTCGTATTATAATTCAATATATACAAATCTCCTCATGTTTGAAACCGTTCGGGGAATATGTGCACGTTAAAATTCATCATGCTTTTGTTTCGTCATATTAATTTGCCTACAGATATCAAATCATGCCAAATCGCAGTTGCTTCATATGTAAAATATAGCCCTTGAATTATATTTTCTTTCAATGCTAAAAGCTCAATATAATAAAATGGTAATCCCAAGCACTCAGACTTTAAAAATTCGACAAAATCTGCTTCAAAAACCGTTCGGATGATTGATGCGTTACCTTACTGTACTGTACTTCCTCTGTTCGATATTAGAGCCGACATTTGACTTCTCAGTGAGCCTACATATTCAATTTTGATCCAAATTTGATGAATCGAACCACATTTGAAAGAGTATCAAAAACGGGAGGTAAAGTTCTTTGACGGAAAAGCTCGAAAAGCACGTCTTTATGCTCAAAAACTGCTTCGTTTTTTCGCACTTTTATAAAAATACAAATATCAGATCTTTGAGTTTTATATTTATTAGGGACTTGAGAAGTGGTTCACCCAGAACGTACGGATAACGTCCGGATAGTTTACAACACTTGAATTCACTATTGGCAAATGTTGCTTGTAATTTGGAAATAGTAGTGAAAAGGTGATATGTCGGCGGTATATGCGAACAGAGGAAGTAGTTAAAACGACGGTCGACCTGCCATTGTTCTGGAGAATATCATCATCACCACTGGAGCCGTTGTCGTGGCAGGATGGGCTCAGCGCCTGTATTTTGCGTGATCGCCGCTATGACAGTGTCATGATGGGTTGAGTCCTCACAGCAACGAAGCTCCCCTCTGCATGTATATCCTCCATCTGACTTCTACGCATGCACTTCGTCTTCCTAAGCAAATCATCGCTAGCGGTATCTCAAGAGCTTAAACCATGTCTGGACGACGTCGTCGTCGACACGGGTTTGACTGGATCACTCAAATACTGTATGGTTCCTGTCGCCTTTCATGTGAATTCATTTCCTACCGCTAACAGACTACCGACGGAATAACGTTAAGCAATACCGTGTAACATATATAGATTTAGACAGTGGCGGGGCAAGTATCCGGATACGGATAGTGTAAATTTCAATATGCTTACAATAATCAAGTGTAATAATCCAATTATATAATTTTACAGAGGAGTCCAAATCTATATGGCTGTCTAAACCAATATACGTTACACGGTATGTGTGGCGACGCCAAGTGGCAGCTGCGACCGCTGTCTTTGCCTTGTGCCGACCACCCAAGGTCAAAACACTCGACTTGCCGACGTCACACATGGAGCAAACACCAGCAGGTTCCACCACAAGGAATAATAGCAAGTCCATGTGGACTTTATCGCAATGTACGAGACGACATTCATCACACGACCTTGGATGTAGCTTATGAGCTACCACAGCTATAACGTTACATTGAGATGACACGGAACTCGTCTCAATGTATCGCAGCGAGTTAGGCATTGCCGACGTACAGAGGGAATGGGCCCATTGAGGGTGGAGGCGTGCCTTGCCTTCCTCTCATCTACTGCCAGTGGTATGTATACCGCCGGTACATGTGTATCTTCGAGCATGATTATTATACTCGGCAATTGTCAAAATCGACACCATCGTGTTTTGTCACTTGCCGCTGATTGGTCCATCTCGTGACGCAGGTCACGCGCGTTGATGATGCCTGCTCGTACGAGAGTCGTACATTATGTACTATGTACGTACGTCCACTTTCCATACAATTTGGACCATCCATTTCGCTGACAATTCGTACGGACACGTACATCATGTATGTCGTACATTGTGTAATGTTGCAGGAACCAAGTCAAACACGCGGACAACGTGACAGAGGGTGGCCCATGATTCAGTCATCGATTTGCGGTAGGGAAGGAACGTATGTGTCTCAAGCCAGGATCCAAGAAGCTCACGTGGGCGGCGGTCCGTGAACACAACAAGGCGGACGATGCGTGGATCGTGATCCACCACAAGGTCTACGACATCTCCCACTTCGACACGCACCCCGGTGGGGCGGTCATGTTTACGCAGGCGGGGGAGGACGCGACGGACGCATTTGCCGTGTTCCATCCGTCGTCAGCCCTCAAGTTGCTCGAACAGTACTACATCGGTGACGTGGACGAGTCGACGCAAATTGTGGACCCGACCTTGACGGAGGAAGCGAAGAAGACGCAGAACGAGTTTGTTGCCGCATACCGCAAGCTTCGACTTGACGTGAAGCGCTTGGGACTGTACAACGCCAGCAAGGGTTACTACTTGTGGAAGACACTATCCACGTTGAGCATTGGTCTCCTCTCGGCGTTCATCTGCTTCAACACGACCAGCACGGCCGTGATCATGGTCGCGGCGGTGATCCTCGGTCTCTTCTACCAGCAATGTGGGTGGTTGGCGCACGACTACGGCCACCAGCAAGTGTTTGACAACCACACGTTGAACGACCTGTGCATCGTAATGGTGGGCAACTTGTGGCAAGGGTTCTCATGCCAGTGGTGGAAGAACAAGCACAACACCCATCATGCCATCCCTAACTTGCACACGGACCCTGTCGACGGATACCACGGCGACCCCGACATTGACACGATGCCGGTGTTGGCGTGGTCGCTCAAGATGGCCAAGGAGGTGGAAAAGGGGTCGTGGGGGCCCTTCTTCATCAAACACCAAGCGGCGTTGTACTTTCCCATCCTCTTGTTCGCGCGCGTGAGTTGGGTGTTCCAGTCGTACCTGTATGCGTTCCGCAGCATCGGACCGGGCGGCACGTTTGACCCGCTCCAGTACCCCGTGCTCGAACGCAGTGGGTTGGTGCTGTACTACACATGGAACGTGGCGTTGGTGTACTTTTCGGGCATGTCCTTCGTCCAAGCGATCTCGTTCTTGTGGGTCAGCCAAGCATCATGTGGGTTATTCCTTGCGCTCGTGTTCAGCATTGGACACAACGGCATGGCCGTGTACGATCGCGCCGACAAGCCCGACTTCTGGAAGCTCCAGGTGCTCACCACGCGCAACATCTCGCCGACGTTCCTCGTGGACTGGTTCTGCGGCGGACTCAACTACCAGGTGGACCACCACTTGTTCCCGACCGTGCCCCGTCATAACCTGGCGCAGCTCAACGTGCTTGTCAAGTCCTTGTGCAAGCAGTTCGCGGTGCCGTACCACGAGACGGGCTTCTGGGCCGGCCTCGGCGAAGTCGTGGACCATCTCAAGGACGTGTCCAACGAGTTCATCCGTGAATTCCCTGCCATGTAAGAACGCGCTCCTGGTGCCTACTACGACAACCGATGTAACTAATCAACGTTGACGACATTCGGTTTAGTTATTGCGTACTACTAACGTTAATACTAAGCTGTAAAACCAGTTTACTGTAACCTGTTTTCAACCAGTTTATATTTCAGGAATTTACAGTTAACCCGCTCGGACATACTAGTATACTATTATATGGTGCACGTCATCTATAAACTACCAACTTTTCACAAAATTTTCTGACTTCTATTTCATATTCATTACTCAAAATTGCAGCAAATTGAGACGTAGAATCGACAGATCTCAATGTGGTGAAGAAATTCTACGTCTCAGATTCAAATTTGGTGATGAATTGGTCCAGAAATAGATATTTAAACTAGTGGTATTTTACATGGGCGCTTGGATATTTGGCCATAGGGGTGGCCGCTCAAATGTATCTTGATTTTTGTATGTGACTCTTATCCGTATTTAATATCCGGAGGCAAGGGGGACCTTTAACCTCCCACTCCAGTGATAAAACGCATGAAATCGGTATTTAACGTATCTAGATTTTGGGTTTAACTACATTAATTGCACGTTAAACAATAAAACCTCCACTCTTCAATTTGGCCAGTTGGAAGTTTTTAGATGACGTGCACCATAGTAACGTAAACAATCCTTGATTTGCCGAATTTTGATTGTGTTGTTTGGAGCACATTGCATACAGTACAGGCCTTGTCTGGGTGCGGCCCGACAAGAAGAACAGCTAGATCATTCGGTGAAGTGGGAAGCTTAGATCCGGGCTCTCGTACGGCCGCGCTTGCGCCGACGGCCTCCTTGGCATTCAGAGCCAACGTAAGGCTTGGTCACTACTTCGAAGTACTTTACTACGTAACAGTTAGTAGGTTTCATCCAACAACTTCATCCAATTTCATCCAATAATGTCATCCCAATGGCATCCACGCTTTAATTCAACAATTATATTATATTAACCATAGTATCCAAGGTTGGTATTAATATTAAATGTTGTCCGGTCAGTCTTAATATTTCTGTCCATGTTTCAAGATATTCCGAGCTTTTTATTGGTCATTACCCAAATTTTCCAAATAACGCAATCGTTCACGCTTTCCGGCATAACTCAGACATGGATGCGAGTTTTGAGGCGTGGATCCTCTAAACCTGGGATAGTCCGTTCTGTCTGGCACTCATTTTCATAAAAAACCAAAAAGTATTGATCGACAATTTTTTGGATTGCGAAAATATTTTGTCCAGATACGACTCAGTTTCGGACATGTTCCCGAATTTATTACTTCGAAGTAAGTACTATTAATAGTACTATGTATAATAATACTTCGAGGAAGTAGGTGGACTTCGGATTCACAGTCAAAGTGCAGATTAAAATTAATTCCCTCGTTCATCGTACATTGTGTTGGTGCTGTTGGATCTCAAGACCCCCAACAATCAATTACTACGTACGAGTAGTATTGAAAATGTCCGGCGCCTTATTTTCTATATTTCGTTGTTAATTACTTCGAAGTATTGTTTCGTCAATTATCTTTTACCCTTAACGTTAGAGCATCTCCACCGCGGCGACAGTATATTTTGCAATAAAATTACATAAACTTCGATTTTCCCGAATAGCATTTGTTGTATCCGGTACAATTTCGGATAAATGTACGTTATCCCGGAAATTTGGTGCATCAGTTACTATTGTAGGGGCCTTTTGGGAAGATGCATCAGATAGGACAGTGTAACTTCGTTATTACTGAAGCAATGTCAATGTCTCTTTCGAATAATATTTCTTCAGGCTACACTTGAAATGGGTTGCATTGACGTGATGAATAGCCAGGGTCACCGTCGCCTTCTAAATTTGAGCGGAAAATGTGTTGATGGAAATGACACCTAAATTGTGTTAGTAGGTGCTAGTATCTACTAAAAATTCTGATTCGTCTTCACTGATTGGCTATAATTACCATTAACACATCATCTTATTGGATGACCAAAGTTCACGGAATCATCAAGCGACTTGCCCAAAGCAGGAACTCCTCCATCGATCGACACACATCGTTCTCCACCATCTACTCCGCACAACACAGTATCTAAGTCTTCATTTAAGCCCTTGTGTGTTATAAGACTTTTATTTGAGTGAAGTAAGTGTACGCTTTGATGACAAAAGGAGCCTCAGTTGCTGACAGTCCCTGCGATTTTGTCAATATTTCATGCATTTTTTGCCCAAAATTGGAGTAAATCAGAGCGAATTGAAGATAAGATCATGGTCTTTCTATGACTAGTTTCGAAACCGCCAAATTCGCAATATCCCAATAACTGAAGATTTTGGGGACATCCCGCTGATACCCGCCCGGATAAGTATCCAATTATCCGTACTACGTACACCCGAAGTTTTTTCTAACGTAAACAATCATTGATTTGCCAATGCATCATTGATTTGCCGAACTTCTTGCCCAATCGAATGTCAGAATTGATATGATTGGATAAAATTATTGACCGCAACAATGAAACCCTTAGTAAGTTAATACTATTCCAGCAATTATTTTATGGAGTTTCAACCTTATTTGGAGGTACGTTAAACCTACAATAATTAATTACTTTATAAACGAATAGTAACTGTATAAATCGATATTTGTATCGTTTGCTCTGCCCTTTTATAATACTTTAATTAAGTCTAAATTTCGGCAAATCAATGATTTACTGTTTCGAGTGGACAACTTTAAAATTTTATTACTTCAATTACAAACATTGAAATTGACTTGTGTTTGAATCTAACTATTGCGCTTGGACTAACAGTAAGGATTATAAAAATGCTGCAATAATTCCAAATTCAACTTGTAAAAACTGCATGGGATAACCTTGCATCATCCTAATTTACTCTCATCTGTACTAATTAGGATATGACCTAATATTTATGTTGGATGATGTTGGGATGACGCAAGATATATACTAATGTTACCACGGGTATTCGAAATCCATATATTAATAACCGCATAACTTACTCTGAGTGGACAGGAAAATGAATTATTGTGCTTTGCACTAGTTTTGGCGTCTGCTTTACGTGGTTAATTGACAGTTTGGATTATCCTTTTTACATTTACTGTTAAGGCATTCCTCCGCGAGGGCCGATACTAGAACCACATGTTATGGAAACGCTTCGCCAATTTGTAACGCGCCTGCTCGATGTGTAAACTTCGGTTTTTACTTCTCTCAACGCTTCATACCTCGTGCTTCGACCGATCCTCTTCAAAGTTCGGTCCTCCTCTTCTTACTCAGCCCTTATCCGGATTCCCACACGACGGATAAATCCTCGCGGAAATAATCCGGGGAGGCCTGGGATCGAACCCACGACCTTTGAGTTAAGAAACCGAGGCTCTACACTGAGCTGTTTTCCCTCCCCTAACTTACGTGGCTAAAAGAGTGGTACTACTGCTGTAACTGTGTTACAAAGTTGAACAAATACCTAGGTGTTTTAGCTAATTCACTGGTGTTTTATAAATGCCAAATAATTCTGAGCAATAATAATCACATGTGATGCTGAAGTGACCAAAACACCTTGGCTGTTCTTCCATCGCGTAGTACATGCAGGTAGCATGTACTATTCGATGGAACAAGAAGATGGCGTGGTTTTCTACGATGTGACACCCTACGTACATTGCTGTACAGTAGAACTTCGGCGTAATGTGTCATTTGTAATATCAAAAGATGTTCATGATGACGAGTGCATTGTGCAATTTGGTCCCGAGAATAGCAGATAAAACTTCGATTTGCATTTTTCAAATGTGCAAAAGCGAGGGAGTTGCATAAATGACCTCACTATAATTACATTCTGTAGCGAAACGTAATCCTAAATCACTGTACGGCTTATCTAAAACACTGGGGTTGATGTAACAAACACCCAGGTTTACGGTGTGAATAGCCAAAACGAGTGAAAAGCACAATCCTTCTTTGTTGGTGACAAAGTGAGCTATTTATTTGATCATGGAATACAGGTGTATTTTTCAGGGAAATTACTTCGAGTAATTATTTCGAACCCCTTCAACGAAGTAAGGACGTGACACAAACATGTACCCTCTGTTTAGTGACGGCGGGTTCCTCCAACGTCAAAAGTTCAACCCAGCGCTAAAGTGTTTACCCGAATGTATGGACAAAGCTCAAAAGCGATCAGGTTCCACTAAAGGCAAGATCAGAGAGCATCATCCAAGTGGGCGGCAACGATGAGCACTGGACACGGCGTTTTCACGCATTTCGCTTGTGGGGCTAGTCCGCGTCGTAGTTGCACCATAAGGATACGGTAGAAAGCAGGCTTCTGAGAGAATATATCTTGTACTTCGATGTAACAAGAATGATTTCGATAATTGGTCGCACCTGCGTACTGTATATCAAGTCGGCGTGAACTCCAAAAAAGTGCCTACGTGTAAAGAATGGTTTCTTCGTGAGTATTACTCGAAAAAAGTTGGCTTCAAATATTGTGCTTTCGAGTGAAAATTCATTGTGTTGTGGCGTGGTTTCTCGTTGGAATTTAAATCGATTTGATTGGCTACCTCAAAATTATTAACCAATCAAAACCTTCTCAATGAAATTCAACCAATCAGATCGATTGGGGATCGGTTTGGTCGATTGCACCCCCTCCCCAAATTTGTATCAAATCGACAATAGGTTTCGAACTTAATAGACTTTCAGTTAGGGGAAGTTTACTGTTATTATATAAGTACTTCGAACAAATACTAAGACTTAGTAACGTTATGAGATATCGATAGTATACTCCTGAGTACCAGTATTATTAGTACCATCGTTCAAGATATCGAAGGTCGCAATATATCTACTACTACGTATTATTTTCTCGGAAGCCTGTTAGAAAGCATTGACTTCATCCTTGTATCCTTCTAGACCCTTCACTGAAAGGTCTGAAAAGGTACAGTACCTTGCCGTCAAGTTGGGTCTTCATGCGTTTCAACCAATCATACCAGATGGCAGAGTATGGAGAGTACGGGATTTGGTCAAAATACATGGACGAAATAGCCGGCTCAACATGGCTACGCCACACAGTTGCTTCGAAGTACGAACGCCAAATGCCACAAGCGCCTGAGGCTGCTGCGGGAGGAAGCGCGGCGACGGAGTTCCTTCAGCATCGTTTCCTGCATGCACATGCAAGGGAACAAGCGCGGGACATACGCCGATGGCATCACAAGGATGCGACAGGATGCTGCACATGTGAGACATGGTCTCCTTGTGTTACACCAAAACTTCGAATTCACAGGATACACGAATAACAAACGGGTTAAAGGCGAGTGTCGCCTTTAGTGTCCAACTGACACACAATCGATCACCTATGGGAATCCGCCGCCGTCTGTGCGGGCACCATCTCGTTGTTCAAGTGGGGGCAGTCATGCTGCTCAGCGCTTCGTTATGCTACGGCGAACCCGTCGAGTCGGCGGCGTGGACGTTTGCGTCCGACACTGCATGGTGCGACTACCACTGCTCGGCGTACAACCCCACCAACCATGCTTCGTGTGCGACGTCGTGTCCTCATTCCCGACTCTTGATGGACGGTGATGTCGACCCTCTCCAGTTGATTCTATGCCGCTCCGGCAATACCACGGCCGTGAATCCCATGCTGTCCTTTCCTGTGACCCCGAACGGCGCCGAGTTGGCCGAGTTTTGGGCGCAGTTCCAAGCGACGATGGACCTTGTCTTGGAAGGATGCGACCCCATGCTGACGGCATGTTCGTTGACCACAGCTTCCTTCACGTCTGCATCCGTCGAGGTAACTACTCCCCTTCCTATCCCGTTCAACTCCCACGCTCGCTCATTCTCTCCATGTAGACCGCTCCGCCGACCGAGGCATTGCCGACGTTAGTCAAGCTGCGACGATCGCATGAGGAACACCTGTGCATCCCCCGAATCCAGTCGCTGTTGCATCCTTCGTCCCCATTGCGACTACTAAGTCGAAGCAACGAAGTGGATGCCGGTATACTGTCTTCACCAACCAACATCATCCTGTCTGTCGTCATAAAGAAGATGGACACACGTTCGTAGGCAGCACGGTGGCAGTCGTCCACGCGACTGCATCCGACATGGCCGCGATCCAAGGCCTCGCATGCGTTTACCACGCCGCGCTCTTGCCGCCGTTCATGAAGTTGAGTCCGCTCGCGCGCTCTTTCGCGGCCTCGTCCTCGTCCATGTTGATGGCGTCGCCGGCCGTGTCCATTGCGTTCCTCGACGACGTCGCGCTCAATGCGACGCTGGTCAGTCGACTCAACGCTGGGCTCGAGCGCGTCACAGGCGTTGTGGACGTGCTATCCCTTCCGTAAGACCATCATTTCTGGCTTCAAGAGTGTTTGTCTGCTCACTGAAAGCACTAGCCATGATGAACAAGTCAACGTGCTGACGCTGCGGCCGTTTGAGAACTTCCGCACCTGGGTGCACACCCTCTTGTGGCTGTGTGAGAACCCCATGGTGCTGTATGTGACCCAGCACCGCCGCCTCTTCGAGACCCAGTTGCCGCCATCGCCTCCATCTCACCACCGCCGCAACTTGGATGCCGACACGGCGAATATCATGGGCACGCTCGGCGCGCAATCCCGCGGCATGTAAGGCTTCTTGATATCGACATTTGTTCTTGTATCAAGGGTCTTGTTCTAGTTTGGGTAATGACGTCGTGGTGGCCGTAACCGACTCGGGATTGTACTTGGACCATGATCAGATCGACCAGCCGAGTCCCCGCGAATTTGATATTGTCAACCTGAACGCGAGAAAGGTATATATATTGTCTTTCTTTTACCCCAAAATATATGTGGCTGATTCTTGGCCAAATCTATCGAAGATCGATGCATTGTACTAACTTTTGTATGTAAAGATCTTCATATACTAAGTCTCACTCGATTTTGTGGAATGTGAGTGGATCATTTGATTGGCCAATTGATTCGTGGGTTTTGATTGGTCGATATATATCGATTTAGTCTTCCGTCGATTCGAATAGATGAGAGTACCCTCTCGCACTCGAATAGCGACTTACTATACAATCCGTTTGTGGTTTGTAAGTGTAATGATTCATTTCCCCTGTTATTCATAACCTAGTGTATGCCGTTGGATATCGAAGCTTGTACATGTACGATAATATGGAGTACTAGTACACGTGTATGCTTTTTTGCCAAAGGGACTATTTGATTGGCCGAAAAGTTGAGCTCAACGTGATTCGATTGGCCAACTCCCTTTTGAACATTCGGCCTTTTCGAATGTACTACTTTTGGCAAGTCGTGTTCGACAACGTTTCATGACGTTGGATCGAATCACACTATTTGACGACGATATATATCTGTATGTAGGTGGTGCTGTACCATGTGATTGGTGATAAAGTGGACCAATCAGAGACTGTCACGTGTGGCCACGGCACCCACGTCACTGGGATCCTCGCGGGTAGCTCGTGGAGCCAGACGTCGCCAAATGTTGGGCTCGCCCCGAACGCTAAGGTTGCGTTTACCGACATTGGCACTCAAGTACAGACACGATCACCGATATTTTCGAGTTTTTCTGACATATTTTGGTCTTTTTTGGCGTTTTCAGGACCCGAGATGTGCCAACATACCGAATATCAAATGTCGTGTCGACTTGGCCACGCCGTGGAACCTCCGAGACTATATGGGCCCCCAACTGAGCGCCGGCGCGCGCATTTTCTCGTACTCGTGGGGCCTTCCCGGCGACGACTACACTCGGGTACGTACGGACTTTAAAAGTTGGAGGTATATTTACGATCGTTTGGATGAGTAGTTTCCATATGTTTGGTAAATATTTTTAATAAGTTGGGTGAGTAACAATATCGTATATATAATATGGATGATTCGTTTCCATGATTTGGATGAATATTTCTTCCATAATGTTGATGCAGTTTTTTAAAAAACAAAATCTAAACAAGTATATATATAGTTTTTTAAAATAGAAGGAGGATTCCATGGTTTTGATACTATTTTTTTTTCTAGCAAGCGAGGGATTTCGACCAATTGGTGTACAACAACCCAGAGATCCTGCTCGTGATCGCCGCGGGAAACTCGGGCGACAACGGCACGCACACGATTGCATCTCCCGCCGGTGCCAAGAACGCTTTGACGTACGAAATACATACATTCGTAAACTCTATAGAATGACCTGGATTGTTTCTATAAAAATATTTAAAAGATAATTGGAAAATCGATGATTTCGTCGGTCATGACTGATATAATCTTGTAGGGTGGGGGCATCGCTGAGTTCCGTGGAGAGTTTGGCGTCGTCACTGGGGTGTCCGGCCGTGTTCAACCCCCAGAGCGTCGCGTCGTTTTCGTCTCAGGGGCCGACCACGGACGGCCGCATCAAGCCGGACGTGGTGGCGCCAGGCCTACTTGTCGTATCGGCGCGGAGCGAAGCAAGCAACTCGATGGAAAAAACCTCCCGTCTGTGTCCGCTGCAAGGCACGTCCCAGGTAACGAACTCGCCCGTTTTATATTTCACGATATATATATATTACGGTGGGTCTGGAGCACTTTGTCAAGTATTTCAACATGAATACATTATTTTTGGTTGTCATATGTTGGAACTGTCTGGATTTGAAACAAAACTCTGTTCTTGCCACCGTTTCCAAAACATAAAATACAAATCGATCCGTTGAACCTTGTTTTTTATTTATTTTTGGAAATAAAAAATATGATATATCGTGCTTTCGAGTCAAATTTCATTGTGGCGTGGTTTCTCGTTGAAATTTAAATCGATTTGATTGGCTACCTCAGATGAGCTCAAAATTATTAGCCAATCAAAACCCTCTAAATGAAATTCAACCAATCAGATCGATTGTGGATCGGTTTGGTCGGCGTGATTCGATTGCACCCCCTCCCCAAATTTGTATCAAATCGACAATATATGACCACATTGTTTTGTATTCTCCGAAATGTAGACAAATGTTTACTTGTCAATTGGTCGACATTGCCAACATCATATCGACTACATATTGTTTGGCATCCAGACTTCTCCTAGTTTCATTTTAAAAAATGTCATGTTGACTTGTAGGCGACGCCGCTGGTGGCGGGGATGGCCGTGCTGCTGACGGAATGGCTCCGAGATGGATGGTGGAAGGATGGAGAGAAGAACGTGGCGGTGGGTATGAAATCGATCCCCGCGGCGCTTCTCAAGGCGCTAGTGATCCACAGCGCCCGGGGACTCACCCGGCGACTCAACAACATCAAGGGGGTAGTCACATGCAAAATGGCAGAATCCCAAGCGCAGCCCTTGACCCAGTACCCCGACAACATGCAAGGTACATATATGTATGTACATATATATATATTGTGCTTTTTTTCCCAAGTCATTTTGGACTGTTGAGTCTATTAACAATCGCATTTGAACTATATACTATGTATGCAAGGTTTAGTATATATATATATATATTAGTGTCTGCCCCGTAGCGGCGGAGGGACTTTATTGAATCCGGTTGTTGGATTGGCTGAAATTCCACAGAGGATGTGATTTGATTAGCTTGAGCTTTTCATGAATTCATTTTGCCTTCAGACTTTCTTTTACTCTGAGTTTTGAATCATCGATCGTTTGGACAAATTTGTGGTAGACTGTGTAGGTTGAATAATGTTCGACTGATTATGGTTGTGGGGAAATAAATATTATAATACTCTTATATATTAATGTTATATCTCCTATTAGGCTACGGTCTCCCTGACATGTCGAGCGTGGCAACGTTTGGACAAAATGCCAACTTGACATTTTTGCCCAACACCTCCGCGTCCGACTCGCCCGCCGTCGCACACAAGGGCGAGCACGTGTACAGTTTTATTATGCGTCCCAATGAAACCTTGCGCGCCACGCTGGTACGATCTATATATATTTATATTTATATATATATATATGTGTGGACATATGTAGGTATGGAACGACCCACCGGGGACTCTGTTTGCGACCAAGTTGCTGCAGAACGACTTGGATTTGTCCATCACGGTGCCCAATTCAACAGTGATATTCCATCCGATGTCAGGACAAGGCGGCGGCAAAGACGCGCTCAACAACGTGGAAATGGTATCTGTTGCGTACGACACCGTGTGGCCCCTCGTGCCGGCGGCGGCGGACGGCGACCTGCTGCGCGTGGACGTGCATGTCGCGGGGTTCGCCGTCTTGCTCGGGCGATCGCAGCCGTACGCGCTCGTGGCGTCGTCGGGACTGATTGGGCCGCGAGCAGGGGACAACGCCGCCGATTCTCCATCTCCAGCTCCACTCTTGACGACCTCAGGAGTTGTGTGGCAGCCGTGGATGACCATTTTGGTGGCAGCGCTGGGGGGGGCGCTTGTGCTAGTGGGGATTGTTGTGTGGGTATTGGCTCGGCGAAGACGAGGTCGAAGTACATACCAAGTCTATGTGGGTTCGCCCCCGACGCCACAACGTCGCCAATGTCGTCCAGGTATTATTGACACTAGTGGAGGGGATATTATACAGTAAGTTGGATGCTTATTTGTTGTCTGTAGGATCGGTCAACTTCCCCTCACCCGAGCAAAACATGTGCCCATACTGCGATTTCCTCACGCCCGACCCCGTGGTGTTAGTCGACCACGTCCAGCGTGTCCATCATAGTTAGAATAAAGTACAATGAATAAGACAGATTATACTACCAGTAGCGCCGACGAAAAGTTAATATTAGGGCACGCAAGCATACATGCATGCCTTGCGTTCACGTTAGTCGCTATCAATGCCACTTTGTAGTAAATGTCAAGCTGGTTTCACATGTCCAATGACCGATACTAGTAGAACCCTTTATACCACGACTACCAATTGTCCTGTATGTACGTACGTGCAGTACCTAACTACAGTGTACTCCACACACCAGCGGTTGCTTTCACGGATGTCAACAATATGGGCGTTCGACCTATAAATAGACTAGCTCATTCGTCACTCAGTCGTTTCAACGACGACGTGTCGTCCATAATACGTACCCTTCTGGGGCTGTTGGTGCAGCATGGGGAGCGGGTCCAGCAGCGACAAGACCGAGCTAAACTCTCGCACGGAAAAGCGACTATCTGACGCCAAGCCCGTGAGTCGGCATATGTCGGACGCGCCTGCGTACCACGACATGACCAACGCCGACGTCAACGCGATGCTGGAGGCGTTCACAGACACGACGTTGGAGCTGTCGTTGGCGAGGGAAGCCGACTTTACCGGGTTCCTTGCCCAGCACAATCTGCCCGCGTTCGACGCCATGCCAGCGCACGTGTATAAGCTGTCGCAGCTCATGGAGCTCAACTTTAGCCACAACCAACTCACGAGTTTGGACGATGCGATTGGCGAGCTAGCCCAGCTGGAACGTCTCGACGTGGCCAACAATCGACTGGCGCAGCTGCCCAGTGGGATATGCAAACTCGTGCGGCTCAAGACGCTGATTGTGTCGGAGAACCAATTGACGGCTCTCCCGGCAGACTTGGGGGCGTGCACCGCCCTCACCAAACTCGTTTGCTTCAAAAACCAACTCGCGACGTTGCCCGACAGCCTCGGGGGCTGCGTCCCCCTCGAAGAAGTCAACTTTTTCAACAACAAACTCACCAGTCTCGGCGCTGGCTTTTACGACCTCGTCCATTTGTCGGACGTGAATATCGCGGTACGAAAATGGTATGTTTTAGGATCTGCGACGATGCTGACGTTGTCACAGGGCAATGCACTCACGCAGCTGGAACCGTTTACCAAGCTGGTCAACCTCAAGCGATGCGCGGCATATCTCAACAAGCTCAAGGTGTTTCCAAGCCTCGTCACCTGTACGCAGCTAACGCAGGTAAGAAAGACTCGTACTAGTAAATTTAGTACGCAACCCTACTAACTACACCATGTGTGGACTATTCATAGCTCCAAGTGTATCGAAATGCGCTCAAAGAGTTGCCAGACTTGACCAACTTGGTGCTTCTCACCGACTTGGACGCCAACACAAACCAGATCAAGGCCATTCCACCGTCCTTGTGCTGTCCGCAGTCGACCCTCCGAAGCCTCAACTTGCGGAAAAACAGACTCGTGGCCTTGCCCCCCTTCCTCGGCAACCTGACGCATCTCGAGATCCTCAACATTGGCGGCAACCCCATCAGCTCTCCGTTGCCAGTGGAGCTGACTCACTTGACCACCCTCGTAGCGTTGCTGCTCGATGACTCTAACATTACGGTGCTGCCCAGTGAACTTGCGGGCATGAAGTCGTTGGTTCGGGTGGACGTGGGCTCTCGAATTGACCACTCCGATACAACGACGAAGTCTGTCATGGACGCGCTTGAAGCCACTTGCGACAGAAACAAAGGCTGGTTAAAGCAGTCATAAGGAAAGAACACACTACTCTTTCGATTAATAGTAGTAAATCGAATACTAGTCGTCTGTTATAGTTTGGCGGTGGTTGTTTGCCGATTGAGCCACGGGTGCTTTTTCCATTGCAATAGCCCCGCCGCCACACCTCCCAAGATGACGACATGACCCACATACATGACGATGAGTGGAATGTCTTCCTTTGACATGAACGTCGACACGGTAGCACACAGGGCGCTCCAAAAACTGAGTGCGTACACGACTAACTTGGCACTCCGCACATGCCTAGACATAAACCAGAGTCCGATTAGGCATTGCTACATGTAAGAGTCAATAGAGTACCTAGTGGAACACGCTTGGGGAAAGCGATAATGCACTGCAAACAACAGCAAGTCGCCAGCCAACGCCACGAGCAGGTACATACGCTTCAAGTAATACATGCGTTAGGACTTGATGAAAACACGATCAAATATATATACTTGTACGTACGATGTTGGTGGCGAAGAAGGTTTTGGCGCCGATCATCAGCCCTTTGACCAGTTGGCTGATCATCCCAAACAATGGGGAGCATTGAATGTCCAGGTCGAGTTGGGGAAATGCCAGCTGGTGACTCCCAGACGACAGCACTGCCAGTGGAATGAACAGCCCAATGCCAAACATGCCAATCAATGCAAATGGCCACTAGAACACAACCAAGTTGATGTATTATTTCTCGTAAATTATATATATATATATAAAGAACTTACGTGGTCGCTTGTCCAGCACAAGAATGGAATGTCAGTGGACCACAACATATAGACTTTGGTGTCGTTGGCGTCCATGACAGGATAACATGCGACAGAGTACAAATATTCTTGGGTCAAAAACTAGTACAGCAACAAGGTTGAAATTTATTTATTTTCAATAGATTATAATATATATATATGTCGTACCATAAACAACCCCGTGCTTAAGAAGCTTGGCAATAAAAACGTGATAAAATAGTTGACCCATGGAAAGCTCTTGAACTTGTTGGACGCTTTCAAGCTGAAGAACCAAATCAACAAGCACACGAACGCAATGCGTTGTTTGATCTAATCCAAGAACACGGTTAGATATTAGTATATATATATTTGTGTTATATGCATATATAATGTATATATATATATATATATATATATATATATCAATAGGTCGACGATCATCCCAGTACCAAAAACATGTTGAGCTCCACGCCATCAAAGCCGAGCGTGGCAAAATCTAACGTGACCATGGCGCCCAATTTCTTTACGGAATACGTGGATTTCCTAAAAATTAAAATATTAAGACCTCGAAACAATCGACGAGATATATGTAAAATAGACCAACCAGATTTGCCACGGAATCGAGTTGAGCTGCAACAGCTCCCACCCGATACTGCCCATGGCCAGGTAATTCTTCAAGCACGATGGAAAGTCGGTGAGGTTGATCTTGTCCACACGTCGGGTGTCGTTAAACCCAGGGATACTTCGTGTGATGGTCACCACAGACACAAACGCGAGCACGACCCATAGAATGCCGTACACACAGGCCAAAATCGACAGCTTTCCGACGGACACGACGCCCACCGAGGCCTTCAAGTACGGACTCACGGCATATTCAAACAAAAACGGGAACCCAAACGCTATCGCAGTGAACCACCAGCTCGACCAGAACCCGCCAAGGCCAATCTTGCCGTTCTCGGGCGGCCTGCCAAGTGATATTATAAAAAGTACATGTTTCTTCATCGAGAAATCTTATCCGTTAAGATTTGGATACTCGAATGAATGACGCAATTGTACTTTAAAAGGAGCTAGCGAATCCAATTACACTCTATTGAGAACCTTGAACCAATCATCGATTGGCCCAACCAAAAAAATAGTTTTATATATGTATAACATATATGTCGGCGTAAACTTCAAATCTGGCTCAAGTCGGTTCGTGAATCAGCCACAAGCCCATCACCAAACATAGATTTCAGCGAAAAGGGTAATGAATCCAGATATTGTGATTTCGCTAGTATAAACTTTCAAAATTCGCTTGGTTGGTCTAATCAATATTGAATCACCGTGGGGTTCTGATTGGCTGACTATACTTGTCGTTTCTGTAAGAGCCAATCAAATATATCCACTCAAAATTGGATTACCCAATAGCGTCAATGATTCGTGATTCGATGAGGTTTGGAAATTATTCGTACCGAATCCACAATATAAGTCGAAATAATCTCGACAAACTAAACAAACTCGAATATGAAATAGCACTGAACCATGTAGAATCGAAATACGCAATGTGTGGAATAAGCTTAGGGGTACCAAATGTAGAGCAGGTCGACCCCGAGCCCCTTGAGTTGCGTGATGACGAGGTAATATCGCAGCTGCTTTTCCGTTTGCAAGACAGTTGCCGACACACTGGAGGGTGGTTGCAACAAAGACGCGACTTCGACCGTGTTGCTCCGCCTTCGAGATGGAAGCGGCGGCGGATGAGTCTGGCGGATAAGCCCGTGATACATCTGCGAGGCATCCCGAACGGCGTCGCGTGCTAAGGACAGCCGCCACACGGTCACGGCAAGCAGCACCCACGCGAGTGCATGGAGGCCCTCGGCGATCTATAGGTCGTTATGCGGGGTTAATCCCTCGGTTTAACGACATGGACGGTACCGGTCCGTCAGTGTAGAGCACGGGGGGGATGAGCATGGCCCTAGCGTTAAATACTTTGAGCTTGGAGCGGGCATCAAATGGATCGAGGTCGCAATAGGTCGCGAGGCGGCACTTGCGGATGCGTTCAATGTGTTTGAGCGGCTGAATGGATGGCCGACCAGCGTCGTTGGTACGATCGGTGAGGGCTTTGCGAAGAAAGTAGGTGGATTTCGACGAAAGTTCGAGCACCAACGCCGCAGATGTGGGGCTAGACGACGAAATCCGATGGGAACTTGTAAGCAAAACATGCTGGACCGACGTGATGGCCGACGAGAGGCGCTCCGAGAGCCGTCGCGGTGCAGTGGAGCTGCTGATGCTTTGCTGGGGGGGTGCCGGTGTTGTGTGGTAGGGTCGAAGCGTGGGTTGGTTAAAGCAACCACTGACAAACTCGGTGATGACATAGATGGCCTGCCATCGCTCCAAGGGCTGCAAGAAAAAATGGTTGATGTTGTCGGGGGCGACCATTTTCCCAAGCCCGTACCTAGTATATACATTCATCGTAAATTCTAATAAGCATCCTGTGAATTTGATAGATGTCCAAACCGACTAGCCAATGGAATTGCATCAACCCGAAATTTCAACCAATGGTAGGTCAGCGATGTTTAGAGCAATTTAAAACGTAAAATCCCCATTAATGGCGAATGTGCCAATAAATCACGAATAAAACGAAGCCAATCACTGATTGCTAAATCGGAAAAGCGCCAATCACAGGACCATACAACACCGAAAGTTAAAATACTACGTCAACACTTGGTACTTGTAATATTGTGCTTTCGAGTGAAATGTTGTGGTGTGGTTTCTCGTTAGAATTTAAATCGATTTGATTGGCTACTGCAGATGAGCTCAAAATTATTAGCCAATCAAAACCTTCTGAATGAAATTGAACAACCAATCAGATCGATTGTGGATCGGTTTGGTCCCCAAATTTGTACTATCAAATCGACAATAGACGGTATTAACACGTATGGTGCTTCGAGTGGATTTCTCCAATACACTGCCCAGTCCTCCATATATTTAGGTGAATATCAACAGGATCTATGAAAACGTGTGTACATACCATTCCGGCAGGCGAGGTTGGGGCAGCGAAAAGATCGACATGTGCGGAATCACGAGCTGCTGCCAGTTGAGTCCGCGGCGGCGGCGCCACGTGTCGACGATCACTGCGACATCGTTCCGGTGGTGCTGCTGCGGCTGCACGAGCGCGGTCGGTCGAAAGTGTTTGAAAATGGAATCGTGAGGTGTCTTGGTGTGTTGGGCAAAGAAATCCAACCCTGCGATACCGTTACACACTTCCTTGAGCCGGTACTTGTGCTTCACAGAGGTCGACGACGAGGCGTGCGCGGGAGGTTCGTGGACATGCAAATGTGACTTGAAATAGGCCAACCGTCGAGGCATGTACAAATCCACCGTCGCCAAGATAGACCGCCACGTCATATCGCACAGGCGGCGGTTGCCGGGGTCAGACAACATGGCGACGACCAGGGGCGTCATCGAAGCAAACGACCCGCTCCCTTCCGACGCCAACAGCTGCGCCATCATGAGATTGCACTCGACATATGCACTTTGCTTATCGTACGATCCAATCAACTTGTCTCTGGTCGTGCACTTTTCAAAGATGAATTGCACGGTCGTCCATAACGAGGTAACTCTAGCCAATATATCACCACCACAATGAGTCTGTCTGATTGTACTGTATATATATTTATATATTTATCAAAGCAGTAGACTATACAGTACCTCCACGTAGCGTTGATTCTTGTTTGTCCTTCTTCATCCTGGGCGGCTTGGGTCACTCGACCGACCTTGGCCAGTCGCGGCGGTACTGTCGATTGCATGTGAATCGCTTTCCAAACCCATTTGCAAACTACAAGAAGCCCCGTCCACACAACAAAGCACATGTATCGCAGCTGGGATGATCCACACGTGGAAAACGGAAACGTGGGTGATATGTGACGCTGTTCATGTGACACTGCGGAGGGCGACTGCACACACACTCGAAAACTAACTTCACCATACGGGTCGAGTTGGTCGAAGCGCATCTTATCCCGTTGAACGGGGTAAAACTCGACCGAGTGGTCGCCCGGGGCCAAGTTGGTCAGCGATGCCTGGCCGATGCACATGTCCACAGGGCTAAATGGAATGTACATCCACACTTGTACATCCACAGATTCCGTCATCTCGTCTGGCATGACGCTAAACGCTCTATTAGCTGGGTTCGTAGCAATATAGTTGCCACACTGGGTCTTGAGTTGCGGATACCGGCATTTGGCAGTCGACGACAGGTCCTTGTGAAAACCAGTGTACGCTGCTCGCTTGGGTCCTAACGATACCTTGATATAAGGACGGAAGCCCCCGAACGCCCACATCCACGAATGTAGGTGCAACGTCTCTATAACGAGGGTCAGTGGAGCCCCCATGTTGTTGATGTTGTTATCGGCGGCCAGCCCCTCTGTCGACGCAGCGTGTATCTGTAGCAACTGCTGCACGGCACTACACAGCGCTTCAATGTGATGCGTAAAGTACCCAATGTCCATTTCAGGGTTTTGGAGGCTCAACACGATCCACCCTGCAATCTTCTCGACGCGGCGAAAGAAAAGCGTGACATCGGCATGCTTGGACGTGTCGGCCACAGCATGCAGCACCGCTTCCAGGAGCAAATGCACCACATAATGACTGGTTTGAAAGCACATGACGGCGTGCTTGGTGGCGTCGATGCCCTGGGTGAGCTGGCTGTTGTGGTTTGACCGCTCGAAGGCCTCGTACAAGCTGTCGTACCCCTCGACGCAGTACTTGGACAGCTCCATGGACAGCGTTTTCATCCAGTGGACTACCACCGCTATATCCCCAGAATCCTGGTGACTCGTGATGGAATCTTGAGAAGGTAGGGCATCGTAGGCAGTCTGGAACTCCCGCAAAGCTACGGCCATACTTTCCAATCCGTTGTCGCGCAAGAACGTCGGGGTGCCCTTGTCGATGCGACCGTGGGTTACCATGCGCACCAGCACCGAATGCACCACTCGAACCTACACAGGCGGGGTTTAGTATTACTAGTAGTAGCCACAACACGTGTACGAGCAAGGGTCGTTCGTATACCAGGACGTTGACTTGCATGTCAAACTCAAACAGGGTCGAATACAGTGCCAGAATCAGCGCATGGGCGACATCTTCGTCCGTCAAGCACAAATCGCACGCTGTTTGTTGGAGAAGCTTCTGAACGTGCCGAATATTGGCGACCGCAGCCAGCCGCATCCAGATCTTAGCCGCAATATGCGACAGAGTTGATGCCGACTGGCGGCCTCGATGGAGCAAGTACACGAGCAACTTGACCAGGCCAAACGTGTCGCGACGGGTAGTGAGAAAGTCGGCGCGCAGGAACATGCAGTTTTCACTCAACATGGACAGACACGTGAGAAACGTCGAGAACGCGGGGTTGTGGGCGGCACACGGACCTCCCGCGGCCATTTCTAACCGCACGACGTGGCCTGCGACACCGCACAGCAACTCCAGCATGCTGTCGCTTCCCGCTGCTGTTTGTGACGAAGTTGCACAGCTCCGGGTCGCGAATTTCGTCGCGATCATACGGACGCTGGCACATGTTTTCAAGGTGGTCATAGCCAACTCGATGTCGGACGTCGTGCACCGAGCCAGTTGGCGTAGAATGAACGCCATGGACAACGGATCGGTGATCAAGAAGCACCCACTCAAGCTGTCGGCTGTCACCATCGCAAAGAACGTGAATATGGCATGCAAGCACTCTTGTGCCACTTTCTACCGGTAGATGAATGGTCATATTTAGTCGAGTTTTGTTTCAGCCAAAACATGATAGAACTGCAAACGTACCGCATAAGCATGGGCGCAGGCAGCGGTCCACACTTGAAGAACTTTGATAAATACATGTGGGGACTCTGTTGGCTCGCCCCGGCAGTACACCCACTTGTGCTGCCACAGCCGCACCTTCTTCTTGATGCCATGAGGTTGGCGGTGTGTGTGGATGGACTCGGTGGCTTGGAGCTGAAAACCGGCAAACATGTTGTTCGTTTCGGCTTTGTAAAAGCTCAAGAGCAAAGCACACAGCTCGTTTAACGTACAGCCCAACTGCGACGTCAGCAACGGACTCTCTGACATTGGACACGTGCTGTAGATCGGAAGCAAGTCGTCCAAAATACGCTCGAACGCCAAGACGTCGTGGCTGCCTGCGCCGATGCCAATCAAATTACGCTGCACCTGGCATAGATGACGTAGAATTTCCGAGTCCCTCGACAGCGCCATGGCCTGTAGCCACACGTGGAGACTGCTCTTCAGCCAAGGCAGACACTCGGTCGTTGTGACTAGCTGCGCCAGGGTGCTGCACATGAGTCTAGTCACAACCAGCTCGTCAGGAGTACACGGGCAAGCTGTAGCCAGGATGAACTCGGTGAGCGCCGTCAACATTCGCCCTTGGCTTTTTTGTGCGCAAGATAAGTTGTAGACGATTCGCCACACCCGGTCCGCGTTTGTGTGGCGAAGTAGCTTCACGATCGAACAGAGTGCCACGTCATTGTCTAGCACAACGTATTGGATGCCTCGGCTGCGTGTGATGGACTCAAACAAGCCCAACACTTGGTCTAGGGATTCTTGCCGTCGAAACGCCAGGCACGCCACCGCCATCTCCAACACAAAGTGGGTGCCTGTAAAGAACTCCACTTCGCAGCGCACGGAATCAAAATACAATCGCGCGACTTTTAGCGCGAGTACCTGGTCCTCTTGGGGGCCATGGAGGGCTATCCGCAGGAGCAGATTGAACGTGTCCTTGGAGTGGGTTAGTTGTTTTGGTCGGTAGTAGTTTGTCAGTGTTGAAGGCGGCTGCAATGTGTTGGCGGTGAGCGACAGCATCTCACGCACACACCGACGCGCGAGGGTTCCTTGTGTCATATGGATGGTATCCTTGGCATGCTGGCCACATGTGGGGCTCAGTCCATAGCGTAGATGCACATTAAGTGACTTCAATATTGCCGTGTTCAGCGGCAGTGGAAGGTTCGCCTTGGTCAAGCATTCGCTCGCATACAAGGCCGTTTTCGAGCACGGAAACTCGAGACATGCAATCAACGTTGTCGAGAGCAAGGAACTGCCGCGTACAACGTGCACGTAAGATGCGTTGTAGGCCAAATTTCGCATGAATTTGCAAAACTGGCTCGACACAATGGTCGCTCCGCCACTGCCAACCACAGTGTTGAGGAATCGATTTGCCCATTGGATATCGTTTCCTGGGGTTAACAAGTACGCCTCGAATCGACTTGACGTCGTAGCCATCCCTGCCAGCAGACCAAAGCAGCCTTCGACTCCAACGCTGCAACTGTTCCTGTCCAGATGGCGTTGGATGGACGCCAACACGTCATTGAAAAGGGTCTCGCGATTCGGTTCATAGCGACTCAAATGCCACAACACGTTGAGCGCATGTCCAGCCACGACGCTATCGTCTGTCTGAGAGCTGTGCTGCATGATATCTCGTACACAGTCGAGGGGGACGACTCGGCAGGGCGGGTAACAAGCAAACAAGTTGGTCAAAATCAAAAGCAACTGGGACAGCAACTGGGGCCACGACTGTAGCAACTGCAACAGACCGACCAAGTGGTGGTGGATCTTGACTTGCACAAACGATGCACACAGGAGCGTCGATGCGTATCGCGGGTGCAATAGAGTGGCTAAGCAATGCAAAAAGTTCCAGTATTGGTCCGTCGTGATGACTGTAGTATTACTGTGGTCGATTGGTTCGGGACCAAAGATGTCACATGACATCGCGTACACGTTGAGCAACCGCAGCAACGACGTGGCCAATTGGAGCAACTTGGACTGACTCAGGTCACTAAAGGGAGGGATATCTGGACACAACGTCGTTAATCTCGACGAACACATGAGCGACTTGAGGGGGATGGGCAGGGGCGTTTGCTTTAAGATGGCTATCGACAGACTTGCGACGAGGTATTGGTTCAAGATGCTACTGTACACGCTCTTGGACGAGAGATTGTGCGCTGTGACAATGTGCAGGATCTCAAATGTCACGTCCAGGTACGTGAGCGCGAGCGGCAGTCTATTTTTCGACAAAGCCGTATACAGGGCCTTGGACAGCAGCGGAAACAAGAGGGTCAACCTGGCTTCCAAGTCGATTTCGTCCTTTGAGTCGCTGGTTTCACGGGTGGCCATGATACAGACCGCGGCCTTGCTTGCATACACGGCTGAGTGGCCGTGTTTCAGTTGGTAGATGATACCCTGGGTCAAGCGCTCCAACACGTCTGGAATCGTAGACGCGAACGCTGTCGCAGCCGAGGATGCGTAGCTGCACAACGTCGCGATGATGTATGCTGCCGACGATTGGTCTACAATAGACGCGCTGTCGAGGAGCGTGGCCACGGTGTCGCAGATGTTGTTGATAAACAGATCCAGCTGCCACGACGTGGACGTGACATGCTGGCTGGCAAATGCAGCAATGGCGATCCAACGGTGGAGGCGCTGGAAGGTCATGTTGGTGTGGAGTTCAATGGACACGTAGCCAAGCAAGACGAGCGGCGCACTCAACCGACACTGTCCCAGGGCTTGAACGATGCCCAGGGGGGTCATGTGGACTTCGTGATCGATGATTTCAATCATCACATTGCTGTCTATTTCTACAAACACGCGGCTAGCCAGAGCCGAGATAAGCCTCCACGCCACCTTGCGGGAAGCCGCCGACATTGTTTCCGTTGCCAGCGCTTGCATCAACTGGTGCAGCACCATTTCGTGGCACGCGTCGGCTGCTTTGGGCTCGAGTGTGCTGGAAAAGGTCAAGCGAAGTGCCGTACAATACGCTGCAAACGCTTGTCGGTGGGGCACCAACCAAGGTACGAGTCGGTCGCAAAGAATCGCGGGGTAGAAGTCGGATCTCGTTTGGGGGAACACGCGAACCAGGCGGTTCATCGCTCGAAATGCACTGCACACCAAATGAACCCAAGGCGGCGTGCGATGGTGGTGTATAGAAGAGGTCTCCACTTGTTGGTTTTGGAGCACCATATCAATCAAATGGCGTAACCCGCAAGTCTGAACAACAGTCTGTTTATGCTGGCGGGATTCCGCAAACAGCACCACGCGACCAATCACGCAAGCCAGGCAGTCAGCTATGCGGATGCTCCTTTGGTCGTCCAAGCTGGTCAAGTCTGAAAGAACGTTGTCTGCGGCTACAAGCAAGCCGTTTTGTATGAATGCAACGCTGTTTTCAAGGTGGCCCCGACACAGCTCGAACGCGAGGCGACCGGCGAGGAATTGGTTGTGTCTGGGTTGGCCAAACATGGCTGGTAAGAACGTAGCCCATACCTTCGACCCGCCGACGATGGTGCGAAGGACGTGACGGTTTCCGTGATGCTGCAGCACTTTGGTTGCAAATGTGGCCACTTCTGCGTGCAATTTCGACGAGCCAAGGTCCTCGTGCGATGATGCAATCTCGATTAGGCCGGCGATCTGCTCGCTAGTGACGGGAACGCCGCAGACGTACTCGTTGCTGCCTTGTTGGAATATCAAATTCATACAACGTAGCAACTGGACCAGTTGTTTGGGTTCTTGATGCATCCTAGAGAGATGGGACCAGCACAATCGAACGACGTGGTGGAGCGAGGTTGATTCGATGCAACGACAAGTCATGGAAGCGGCTAACACCTGGGCTAGCACACCTGCCCCACACGTTACTCGTACGCGAGAGTCGTCATCAGTTTCCACCCACGCCACCGTCTCATCAAGCAGGTTGAAAAATAGTGGAGCCACGGGCTTGAATGAACTTTGACTGGTCAGTTCTGGTGGATTGGTCTTCCATAGCTTCCACAGAATGTAGCCAGCCTTCACAAGACTCGCATGTCGTTGCAACCGTGGCAGGAAGCTGATGAGTAAGTCAGTGTAATGAGGGTATGACAAAAGGCGATGTCTTGTGGATTTGCTGCGACAGAGTGCCGCCGACACTGTCAAAAGACTGTGCAGGCCAACGCCATGTACGAGGAGATGGGAAATTTGCATCGTATGCTGGTCGCATGAGAGGGCGCGGACACAGCACTCGCACTGGCTCAAGTGCATAAGGGCATTGGCGCATAGATGCTGCGTATTCCAACAAGGAACGGCCATGATGGCCATGATCAGTTCTACCAGGGTGCGTCGCAGGTTGTTTGTAAGTGGGTTTTGCTGCGACGACGTGGGCAATGGGAGGGCTGTGACAAGGGGCAGCAGCGAGCGCATTCCAAACGAATACTCTTGGCGGTACGCAATTTCAAGTGACTGCAGAAGTGCGTACGCCATTTCGTTGTGGTCTATGCAGGCCACCATCGTTCGCCACAGTTTGCACAGACTCGTCATCGTTTCCTGCAGGGATGAGTCTAACGCTGGCACTTCCAGCAACAAGTGAATGTATCGCATGGTTGGGTGCAGTAAGTCCAGTGATGCTGAGTCGCCCGACGGCCATAGGACAAAGCCAAGGGTGTTAGCGATGTTGAAAACCAGCGATTTCAAGCCGTAGGGCAAGTGAGCTTCATATCGGAAGCACGGCACAACAGTGGACTGCATGGAACACGCCGCGCACGTGGTAAATGCTAAAGTGTGGCTGGTGTTGGCGTAAATTCGGACCAGGGTTTGCAACAGCGACGCATGGCCACGAACGCTAGATCGCAGCGGTTCTTCTTTGGACGGACATGATGTCGAACAGAGCATGGAGAGTGCTCTAGTAGCTCGAAGTTGGATTTTCACGGGGGTGGACTCCAGCCCAAGGCAAAGTGTGTTGAGCGTGGTAGTAATATGGTACATCAATTGATCATACACCGTCGAAATCAGAGTGGCGTTGGTAGTAGTAGTACAACTGCAAGTCGCGATACCGATGAGGCACTCCACGGCACCAAGCGACTCGAGTTGAGCGGGCTGGTCCAAAAGTTTCAATTGTTGGGACAACCAGGGGGGTGACGATATCAAGGGGTCTGCCGTTAAGCAGGCGACGACGCCGCGGACGTGCCACGTCCGACAGGCTTTGTGGAGAAATCTACACCCAAAAATAATATCACGCAATGTTAATATATATGGAACGCCATACCGTCTGGCGAATGCAGACTCGTGTGCGAAATGGATGGCATCTCGGAAAAACGAATGAAGCAATCGATGGGGAAGGGTGGAAAAGTACTGGGCCAAAGGCATGCCACGTTGACTGGTCCAGAGGTGGCAGCACAGGGCAAATACGTTTTCGTGGTCGATTCGAATCGGACTGGTTTCCATGAGCAGCATCGTATCGCGGAACAGCGGCAGGCGGATGTGCTGCAAGATGATCCGTCGCGCGGTCAACGTGCAGTAGCATTTCGATGAAGATCGACTGCACGCGGCTTTTTCTGGGCAGTGGTACGATGCAAACTGCACGAGGACGTAAAACGCGCGATTGAGAAACGGAATGTCGCCGTCTGTAGCTGACGGTGGCATGCCCCATGTCGCATGTGCGACAAAGGCCGCGCCGTCTGCGCCACGAGACCGTCCCAGCCGGAGTAAAATCATCGAATGGTGGCTTGACGGTGTGGGTTGTGGTGATAAAACACTATGCATCAAGTAGACAAGGGACCGGATCAACGCTGGCCGCGGTGGGTACCAATGTGTGACATCGTGGATGGCTTGCACTACGCTCCACACGTTGACGCGGGAGGATGATTCTTTAGACAAGGCCGAGCACATGCTTGCGACCAAATCACACACGTCGTCCGCTGTCGTGGACGGTTGGTTGTCATACTGAGGCTGCTTTTGCTGCAACCCGACCATAGCTTTGCGTCGAAGCAGCGCCAAGTAGGAGGTTTGGCTGGTTCCTGTCGCATGGTGGTTGGTAGAAAATGCGGTCGACACGTGGCATATGGCTGCTTTGAGTTTGGCTTGGATTGGCCGAGGCAGGACATGGTCCAAGTCGTGCTTGCTTAGAACGAGCGTGACTACTGCACACATGGTCACAGCGTTTTCAGAGGAATTCCGACCCTCGTCGCAGGTGGACATCCCCACGATGCAGCCCTTTTCCAGTGTACACGACACTTCTTGGTTCGTTGTCGCGAGGTGCCAGTGTACTTTGCCGCTGGTGATGACGTGGAGCCCTGGGTCTGTCAAGATGGTTCGATGGGGCAAGAAGCGTTGGATGGTCATGCATCGGCTGACAACTTGCAGCTCTGCGGGGGCGAGGAGGCCAAACACAACCAGCCGTCGAAGCATGTCTTCGAGCCAAATGTAATCGAGTTGCGTCGCGTGGCTACCCAGCGTCAGATCTTCCAACCGCCGGCCGTACATGGGAAACAGCCCGCCGAACACGATGCGACCCAAAATCAACGCAACAGACTCGACGGGTACCGTGTCGATATCGTCGATCAAGTGTGAAGGGGGCAGAGGTTTGCCGGTTTTATGCACGGCAGTCGGGCGGCGACCTGGAGGGGGGGCGAGGGACCGGGTGGACTTGGAAGCGTATCGATCGAGCTTGGCTGCTGACTGGGTCATTGCACTTTGATGCAAAATCAACAGCTTTGGCGGGGCTGGTAGGACGTTCTTTTCGGATTGGAGGATGAGCAGCCGAAGCAACTGCACGCTTTTGTGTTTGATATCGACGCACTCGTGAAACATGAGATCGAACAGCACGAGGATGCCGCCGTGGCCACATAGTCGCACGACGACGTAAATGCCGTTCGCTTCAGCCAAATGCAGGCAAATACCCAACAACGACAGCACAAGTGGGTAGTTGTTCGAGTCGGCTGACGCGAGCAGGAGGTCCAAGATCGTCCGCAGAATCGGCCGGTCATTGGGCAATGATACATCTGTGGTCGTGATAGGTGGAGTCACTTGGTTGTTCTGGGGGAGGTCCAATTCAAGGTCGTGAAACAGCACACACGCTTCTTGGTTTGTGGAGCTGACCATGCGCAGCACATTCGCCGCCGCGACCAGCACGGCCATGGCTGAAGTATCGTCGTTTGGACTAGACAACGATATGCAGTTGAGGTCTGGATTGAACGTCAGCCGGAGCTGCAAGAGGGAAAAGATATGGCGTAGAAGCCGCTTGTCTTGCACAATAAACGTGTGGACACTGGTGTCGTGCCGCAGCAGACTCGCTACAAATGTCAGACACGATAGCGTGTCGTGATCCTTGTGGTTGGACTCTGTCGCACCAGTCAAACAAATCGCCAGCGCGTGCGTGAGATGCAGCGCCAGCAGGTGCGCCTTGTACTCACTGGACACGTTCACAAGCTCCTCCAACATATGCAAGAGCGACGATAACTTGGCTCCTCGTGCATGTTCAATGGCCACCACGAGCTGCGCCATCATGGCCGGCGCGATGATTGGTTGTTTCGACGAACCTTGTCGCAGGATATGAATGGTTTGGATGATAAACCTTGCGACGTGGTGTGTTTCAAACGGCGATGTCTCGCATCCAACCAGAGTCAACAGAGTCGACAGCAGTTCGTGCACGAGCCGTCTGCCAGGCACAAGTGGCAGAGGTACGTCGGTGTCGGTATGCACTTGCGGATACATTGGCATGCCATCTTCAATATGACATAGTCGGGCGTGGAGCTCCAATGTCGACGCCGAACCGGTGAATATGGCCTTGTCGAACGTGGGGGAGAAGCAAGAGTCGGGGCAATCTACATACACACCATCAATGAAATCAGTCTTCGACCACAATAAACACAAGGCTGAGGGATGTACCGGCCGACTGCACTAGGAACGCTTTTTCAATCGCTAGCGTCGCTTCAAAGCAGAATTTGCCCGCGAATTCGGCCGCTACCCACCGAAGCTCGACGTTGTGAGGGTGAGCAATGTACTGCCCCAACAGCAAAAGCATGGGTTTGTCAACGTTGGCTGTGGTAAACACGTTTTGCCGGTATACAATCGTGCGAAACAACGCTGGAACACACAGCACGGCGTTGTAAATGTGGAGCAAATTGAATTGAATGCCCACGTGAGATTCGTTCGTGATGGAGCGTGACGTGGCAGCGTCGACAAAGTGCATCATGTCCTTGGAATGCCGGATGTTTTCATTCCCGGCCAAATGGGCCAACGCTGCACTGAGCCAATACTACACCACCGCAAATCAACATTTCCATAATATAAATTGGGTATATATATAGAACATTTAGCAATACCCGAAGTTGCTCGATTTGAGCCATGCTAACATTGGCGTGACCGAACTCCCTACTATCACAACCACCATTGTTGAATAATGACCATACTCCACATATAGGTTTTCTAAAGCGAACGTACCCCAGTAACCGGTCGTCGCAACTACATGCAACGTACGTCTGCACGATGTGACTGAGCGTCGAGTGCGATACATAGATAGACTCGCCACCAAATAAGATGGACACAAAGCTGCTACTTTCGTTTGAGCAGCTGCGGCGGACTTCGTAGCACAAATCACACAGGATTTGCGATGCCAAGAGGCACAACCCCATGAGTTTGGGCCGGTCTGTTACCCTCGCGGCTTTGTCTTTCAACGAAATGTAGCTCCACACTTCCAACATGTACTTGGTGAACGCTGCACCAGTGGACCGGTCAGGGTGCATTGGATTGTCAGGCACGAGCTTGGCCAACAACAGCTTTCGATTCTCCGTCGACTTTAACATGGAGTGCAGCACGCCAAACGCTAGCGTTGAAAAGTCCGAGTGATGGTGATCAGGCCAATTCATGAGAACGTGCAGAACACTCAGAAAGCCACAAGTGTTTTCGTTCGACGAGAACGTCTGGAGAAACGACAGCGCAGACTCGCTGGCCGTGAACAATTGCTGGAGCAACGTTAGCACCTAGTCCAAGACAAGTTTTATGACAATTAGGTATATATACATAAATAAACTTACATGTATCGTGGTGGATCGTTTCAAGGTATCGCAATTGGACAAAAAGTGCAGCAACATGTGCACCACTCCATGCTCTTCTTGGAGCAAGTACGAAATCACGTGGTTGAAGTCAGTATGGGTCGGTTGATTGGACAGCACTGCCACAAGTATCGCAGTGATGTCGTCGATGAGGCTTGGGTTGTCCACATGGAGACAATAGCGCATCACGTCCAGATACACTACGCACATATACATACTGTATTAGCAAGGAACCAACTATGGCCTTGTACCTGCAATGCAGTCTGTAGTAGAGCATTGCAGCTGAAAAGTGCACGGATGGCACGTCCACTTGCACAGGGTTTGAGACAGCTCGAGGGTCAACTCTTGAGCGTCTTTTAACATTCGTTGCTGTAAGTGGGGCATTTCGTGGAGTACTTCGCCCAGCAGCTGCAGAATCGTCAAGGGGAAATTCACAGTCGATGGCGCAATGTTGACGGCGCTGTACAGCTGTACTAGCTCCACCGGGCGACGGAAGTACTTGACCACGGCCGTTTCGAGGCTCGCGTTCAGTTCCTTGTCGTCAAGAAACATCGGGGACCAGTCTGCCACGTTGCTTTGCCAAATCTATGTACAATGAATGTTATGGCAATCAAACTAGAATTGTATCATCGTTGGTAAGTAGGTAGACGTACCTTGACGCGATCGCGCCGCTGAATCACAGCTCCCACGATGTCGTACACTTGGGATTCGTGGATAATCGTCGGTCCAGAAGCTGGGTTTTTCGTCGATAACGCTATCATGTGAACAACTTCACTTTGCACTGCCGGTGGCAGTTTGGAGATGTTTTTGCATAGCTCGAGGCCCTCGATCTCTTTCTTGGCAGCACTGGACAACACGGACAAGTGACCGAGCGCGTGGATGGCATGTGACTGCAAAGCCGCCGTCGCCTTTTCACGTGTGATGATTGCACAGAGGCTTTGAATGACAATTGGAGAGATCACACTGGCGCGACCCTTATCGAGTCGAAGCAGCGTCGGCAGCACGGCGCAAAGAAACATGGACAGGGTCGTGTTGGACACGAACGCGAACGACGCCAGCAGCATTTGCCATTCCGAGGTCAGTTTGGTTTCAACTACCACAAGAAGCGTGGCCAGAAGCCGGGTCGACTAGAGAAATCAATCAGCGGCCAGCCGTTGTATGACAATGATATATGTGTAGATGGGGTTATACCTGAACGTGAAATTTGTCGTCTAGCGAGGAGATCGCGACGGCGCGGAAACCTAACTCGGGGCCGACGCCGTACTCATGCATGACTTTAAGTTGCTTCATTCGTGTGCGGACGTGCGATGGCATGTCTGGTGTCGTGAGGAGAGTCTCCATCCCCCCAAAGTACGAGCAATCCATGTCGACCGAGGCCGTGGTGGGGTGATGACGATGATTGTGGTGTTGTCTTCGTGTTTTTATCCACGCAGCCAGGGCACATGCAGGTTCGTTAGCTTTTGCTTGCATCAGTTCGCGCAAGAGCTTTGGATCTAACGCCATACATGCCAGTGCGCCGAGGCCATTGTACAACAACATGTGCAGGTCCACCGACGAGGATGTGTCACTCGTTCCTGTGAACGAATTGAACACTGACATGGTCAACGCTACTAGCAACGACGTGCGGTCGGAACTGCTGCAAAGGCTACTCCTGCCGTCTTCTCGCAATGCCATCGCCCACAACACCCCACACAGCCCCGCCTATACACATCCAGCAGCATGTTATGGTAACTTTGGCTCAAAAGTCTAGTTCCCACCTTAACACGGACGTTCTTGGAGGCAAGTACTGCCACAAAGTCATTCACTGGGACGTTGAACTTGAAGTAATCGCCAACGGGGATGTTGAGGAGAATGTTTTGCACGAGGATGAACGCTACACACAGCGCTTCGTCCAGCTCGTTGCTCTTGTCTGACGAAACCCACTACAAATGGTACAGTGTTAATGAATACTCGCCCAGGACTTGTGTAAAGTGTACCGTATACACTAGTTTCCACACAAACCCAAATGCCCGGGTCAAATGACCAGCGAGGCGAGGATCGATGGACACGAGGGCAAAGAAATTGAGCGCGTTTTGGATCTCTGGAAGGTGTTGGCCGATGCATTTTCGATACGAGTCGAGGGATTTGTGCAGGACGTCTTCTATCCACGTGCCCCCAACGGCCCCAAAGTAGCTGGCACCCCAGAGGGCCTTGACAATGGCAGGGCTGATAAAGTGAATCACGGGGGGATAGTGCCACGTCACGAGCGACAACGACTTGAGCGCTTCGAAGCGAATGTCGGCGTCACTGTGTGAGCTAAAGACCAAGTACGTAAACGGAATCTTGAGGTCATTGCTAGCGTGCACGACAAGCTCTCGGTGATGCCACAACTGGTTGAGGAATTGAAACAACGACAGCTGGAACGCCGGGGTCACTCCAGACAGTTTGGACGGTTTTCTAGTGTTGGCGTCCACTTGAAACCCACACGCCATCACGAGCAACGTCGCGAGGCACGACGAGACTGGACAACACGAGGGACATTTGAGGTATTGAATGGCCGCGGGGAGGAACCCTCGGGTTTTGCGCTTGACGTACATCCACTTGAGAAGGCTTTGCTGGATCTTTTTGGCTTTGGCCTTTCGGATGTATTCCACGTGGGAAAGTGAAGTGGGGGGTTGAATTACGAGTTGAAGGATCGACGCTGTGAACGTACACGCAGTTTTGCGGACGATGCGACGCCGTGCGCTGCCATCCATCGCGCCTTTGCAGTAGCATTTTTGTACCGCTTGATGCTGCTCGGTCAACAAGTGGCAAATGCGATCGAGTGGGGCGGACGGCACCATGCAATGCAGGTACGACGACCAACTTGGAGTAGAAGCACATTGAAACAAGGACTGTAGAGCCTCAAAACACCAGTGGACCCACGGAGCCACGGGGAACAGGTTGGCAAGAGCCGATATGGCACATACCGCCACGGCGTTGCCGACCTGGTCGTTGTGAAAATGCACACAGCTGCCAATCGAGTGGATCAATTGTCGCTGTGTCTGTGCATCGGTGGGAACGGAGCGAGGGTCTTGGTCGCTGGACAAGACACAGCTCAGCGTTTGCAGAACTCGGCCGCCTAGTACACACACCAGCGGAGATGACTTGGAGTTGTGGATGCATGCTACGACCAAGCTAACAACAGCTACGTTCTTCGACAGCCACATGCCCCCTCCAGTCGTGGCCAGCACACACAGAAAGCGCAACTGGAGCGTGTCCAAATCGGAAGACCAAGCAGGACTGTTTGCCATCAACGTGTCCACGGCAATGGCCAGCTTTCCCAGAATGTCCAAACTTAGCAGATGCACACACTTGATGGGTGAAATGCTCATGTCGCCATGCGGAGCAGGCTTGCTTGACCGTCGAAAGCCCAGCTGGTTGTCTGAAATGCGAGGAAATAGCCGCGCAATGCGCAGTGGCGTACCAAGGAGGGGATGAAGGAGACACTCGAGGAGGATTCGCTGTGCCAGGTCCAGAACGCGCACGGGCTGATGCACATCGAGCGTCATTTTCGCCAGCAATTCCACCATGTCTCCGTTGTTGTCGTCGGTGGTATTGTGGATGGTCGGCTGACTCATGAGCCCGGCCATATAGTGAGCGTGGGATTGGCTTGCCAACAAGCTGTACAAACACTCGAGAATCTTGACGGTGAAGTGCGCGTACATTTTGGCTTGGGAGATCAAACCCAAAATGTATGGGAAATGCCACGATAGAGGTGGAGGTGGTGGCTGTGATGACAACGATATTGCCTTGTCCATCCAAAGTTGTGGCGGTACTTGCCTACAACATCAACAGCTAAGCATTTGGGATTACGTCGAGCGAAATTCAAGTAACGTACGTACCAACTCAACACGAGCATCTCGTACACATCTGCGGCCAACCCCAGTGGAAGCGTCAACGATGTCGCAGTTTTCATTGTGACCAAGGGCAAAATGGACTTGCACGTGTCCTTACTCAGGAGCAACTCGCAAATGCACATGGCACCGAGTCGCACGGCATGGTGCAGCTCGTCCTCAGCCATGTACTTGAGCCAGAGCAAAAAATGAATGGGTTCTTTCATCACAATGTGTGTCGCCTTTCGCCATGCGACACCGTACAGTCGCAACACTAGCACCGCGCGCGTCCCGTCCTCAGACACGCCCGAGCCAATGCCAATTTTGTCGATAGAGGCGGCTTTCAACACGTCTTCCAAGTACCAACAGTGGCCCAGTGAATCCAGCGCTGAAAACAAACAAAAGTTGATTCCAAAGCCCACGGCGATGTCGCCGTGGGACGCCGCTTCGTTTGGCCTGGATGTGACAGAGTACCATGTCGACAGCGCACACAAAAGCAGCCGGTCCAACGCATCAAGGGCCAACGTGGGCTCCCCCATCGTGTTGAATTGAACTTGAACAGGCGCACTGGTCGACGTGTACACGAATGTAAATTCCAGTGCTGCGTCGTGTTCCCCAACGAAGAAATATCTACCCCACATATTACATATAATATATATATATATACAACAGACGTATGGGGTTGGGAGAGATACCTGTCTTGGCTTGTGGTGGCGATGGGTGGAAGGTACCATCGAAAGGCCATGGGCATGGCAGCTGCGTCCTGGTTGGCTACGAGGGTGCAAGTTGCTTCAATGTGGGCACATCGAATCTCGTCCATGTTCTTGACCATCGTTTGAAACTCGGGGACCAAGATGGAGGTAGTAGTTGGTGGATGGTGGTGGTAATGCAATTCGACCCACTTGTGGCATATCTTGACCAAGTCGCCCGTGATCCCGTGGACAGTGGTCGACACTTTGGTTGCGGACGCTAGATTCAAACACTCGGCCAATCTGGACGGCTGGACCAAGTCCAAGTCGGTGGCATCGACGACAATCGCCACGAGCTTTCTCAGCAGCGACACGCCGTACAGACTTTCGTCCTTCCGGTCCACAACCGACACGAACGCAGGGAGGGCCATCCACGTCATGAGACGCCGTCGAACGTGCGGTGGCAGCACGCGGTTCCGACAAAATGATTCGATACGTTTGAGCGTTTTACGAAACGTTTTGAACTCGACGAGCCCGAGGATCTGGACGAGTTTCCACACGCTGGTGGCGTCGATTGAGATGACATCGTGCGGTTCCAAACACAAGAGAACGCAGTGCACGGCCACGGTCACTTCGTCGGCGTATGCACCTACAAGCCCCAAACATGAGATGGACGTGTGTGTCGATCGTACGGTCGGGCTCGTCTTTGAAGCCTGAAAAGGCCTCGGGGTTGCCCAGTTTGCTCTGCAACACCCCCAGTCTCGTCATAGGGTCCAATCGACAACGCGCAAAGATTTCGTCGCGAACTTCACGCCATACGCAGTGGCCGAGCCCCCGCCACAAGTAGCGCAACAGCGTCGCCATGTCGTCGTCTTCACGGCCGACGGTCGGCGATGCGCCAAGAGATCGACGACCTGTGGTGGAGTGGCTGGTGTGGTGGTTATTGTTGTTATTGGCGTGCTGAATGATGCAGTGCAGGAGCACTTTTTTGAGCGCATCTCGGGCGTGCAAAAGGTACTTGGACATTTTCGACACACATCCCGACGCTTCTACCCCAAACGACAGTACCAGCTCGTCGTACGCGACGAGCGAATACGTGGCGGGAGCCGACGCCGTGAAAAAGTCCAACACGGCGAGAAACGCCTTGTCAAAGTCTGACGTGAGCGGCGGGGCCACAGTTGGGGAGGTCGGAGCGGCACTGGTCGAGCCCTCGGGTTGTTCGAGAGCAACGTTGTCGGCTTGTTTGAGCAACTTGGTCGAACTGTGCTCCAACTCTGGCTTGGTTGACGAGGCGATGAATGGCGCATGGACGTGGCGCGTAGACACTGCAGGCATTGCTGTGGGGGGCCTTTCTTCGATGGGATCTAGTTGGGGCGGCGTCGGTTGCTTTTTCAACGAAGATGGAGGGAGTGCGACAGAGGGCACGACCGATTTTCGCATCGACGGCACTTTTTGGATCGCAATCAACGGCGACGGGGCTGTGACAGCGTCGGACGGAAATGTCACGTGCACCAGTTTTGTGGATTCGTCGACATGGAGTGTCATCTTCGCCAAGAGCTTTTGGAGGATCGTGCGCTGATTCTTGCTGTTGGACATCATGATGAGCAGCGTGTCATCGCTGAACCCGACTATCTCGCCCAGTTCCTGGGCATTCAGCGAGACATGCACAGCGCCGTTGTCGGCGTTCAATTCCACCGCGGCGACAGATGTTCTGGTGTCGACGATGTCCTTCAGCGACATAGACAGCCCATCCCCGCGAAGGAAGATGTCTGCGTTCAAGGAATACCCGCTAAAGGTATTTGTGATGGCAAACGTGGGAGGCTCGTCGAGTCCAGACGCAGATGATGCAGCGGAGTGCAGGCGACGGGGTTTGATTAGAGGACTTTTTTGCTTCTTCGTAGTCATGTACAGCACGTACACGACGTTGCCTTGCTGCAATATGTCCTGAACGGCAATGGACTGTTCGTCCAAGACGGGAATGATGTGGGTGATGTCGTTGTTGCGGCAAAATGCAAAGTCCACGTCACCGTTTGTTGGCTTGTGCGTCGGTGAAGTCGCCGACATTCCGCCGGTGGTGGATGGGATGGAACGAGGATGTGCGTTGCCGCCAACCATAATACTCAAAACAACGCGAAGATCACTCAATGTTGCCGTGGACATGATATCCAACGTTCGCTTGGACTGCACGTCGACTGCCCTTCTGGTTGCCGTCTTTCGTGGTGATACATTTGGAGAGACAGTGACACTTTCCACGCAGATGCTTCGCCATGTGAGTTTCTGGTAGGACGCGATGTATTCGAGCGTCTCTGTGCTTTGCTGTCCCAAGTGAACTTCGAGGGATCTGACGAACTGTTTCCGAGTGGGGTGCATGAGGAGTGCGCCGCCGCTGTGTTGTCCTTTCTCGATTTTGAATCTTCGGTGTGTGCTCGATGATGATTGGTCGCCCAACCGACACCAAAGTTATCCGGTTTCTGTAATTCCGGATAATTTATTGAATGCGTAGTTTTGTACCGATGAAGTGGTCGCTGTCGGCAAAGGCATTGGCGGCGCTGCCGCTCGCGTCTGTGGCAGGATGGACTGGGGTAGTCGCGTATACTCGAGAAAGCGCCAATCATCCAGCCCGTGGGTATAGCTTTAACACCGGCTCCATGGACGACATTCTGTCGGACACGCTGCAGACTGGGGACATTGTGCTCTTCCGTCGAAATTGTGCCTACATGCAGGTAAACTGTCGGTTGAGTCAATCCGACTGCCTATATGTCGTGTGTATACCGTAGCCAGCCGACGCAGTCAGCTGCTTCCTGGGTGACCGCGTGCCGATCTGGCAGGGACCGTACAACCACTGTGGCTTCATCTACGTCAACCACATTGGCGACAAGTTCGTGGTCGAGGAGACGTACTCCGGGGTCAAATGCCGACCTTACAGCGCTCGGATTATAACGTCGCTGTCGACTGATATTGCGGTTGTTCCATTGCGTGTCAAGGTACAAAAAGGGAACTCATCGTAGTGCCTAGCTCACACAACGTGTGAGATAGAGGACACCTGAAATGCAAATGGCAGTACGAGACTTTGTGGAAGAACACGTGAACCGTCCGTCTCGGTTCTCGATCAAGACAGTGTTGGACCAGTTCATATCGAACAACGACAAGCCATCATCCACGCCAGTGTTTCCTGCCGCTGGTCAGTTGTTCCTTCAGGCACTTCCCGAGTGTTTTGTATATTTATATGTAAACAGGATTGATTGCTGAAGTATACCAGCGCATGGGACTGCTACCGTCAGAGTCGACGAACGGCCAATTCCCATCTCCAAAACACTGTACCATCACGGTAAAACAAAACAAACTATTCCACCAAACTAGTGGTTATATCGATTAAAAACATGTATAGCACTGGACAAATTACTCGACCGTGAAGCTATTACAAGGCGCCCATTTTGACCGAAAGTTGCCCATCCGATTGCTGTAGCCACGTTCGATGCTTCAATTTGTTAAAATCAGTGATATCTTTTCTTTCTCATAAGTACTTGGAGGTAGTTAATGTTGATGTGCAATGGACAGCGTGAGTCCATTTTCAGTGGTATGGATGGTTTCCAAATTGCTCCCATTGAACTGACACACGATGAACCCTTCAGAGGTCGGGCCCGGTGTCTTTCGCCTGTATCGGGCAGCGGTTGGTCTTGTTAGCGCCATGGACTGGAACGGGTTGTCGAGATAATCATGATCATGTTGGCAATTCCCTTCGTCCATGCTGACGCATTGTCGTGGAGGGGGGGAGTCATTTTTGGTTGTCGCAGTGGTGTCGGAGGTTGAGATTCCGCCAAGGCGGTGGTTGACCTTGGATATGTCGCCTTCGTTGAGTGTATTGTGTTCGTCGAAACAGCTTATGTTGGTTGACTGGGATGGCGGCTTGATCGCGTGCAATGGATATTTAGCAATGAGCGATTCCTTCGTCACTCGAATACATTGGGCACAGATTTTACGCTCTTGCATGGCCTTTTGGGACGGCTCAGACTGCAAAAACAGCGGCGTGTATGCGATGCGAACTGTGCAAGCGGCACACATGATCTACCATACACTAACATGTGAGAAGAATTTCAATCAACGTTATATAGCAAGTGGTTAGTACATCGCCACACGACCGACAGTGGTGGCGACTTCGCAGCGGGCTGAAGCGTTTCGTGCACACAATGCAGTGTTTTCTCGCGCTAGATAGGACAAGAGTCAGTACGACATGTCAAATTGAAGAATGTCCAGGTGGTACATACATAGCTATTCCAATATTCAAGGTTATATTAATATTGTCAATCGAATGAGCACCAAATCGGCAGACAATCGATATACGGCCAATCAAAATCCAGAACATCAATCAAGTGGCCAATCAAATCCACTCTTTGACCACTTCAACATCGAATATTAGTGTGTGAATTAAATTAGTATGACACTGGACAACATAATAAAGCCAGTGCAAAGAGAATCGATCGCTAGTCAGCACAAAAGTCCAAATTTTGGGTACTATTACTACTATTAATATATACTTCGTAGTACTACGTAGTACGAAGTATTACCTGTCAGGCACCCACGCAACATTGAAGTGCCGCGCCGAGACAATAATGCTTCGAACTTCCGGAAGACATTCTAGTCGCGCCATGGTTTGCCAGTACGAGTATGCAGTAAACCTTGACGGATATGATCATCCACACAACAAACTTGTTTCTACCATGTTGGGATCACTCCAACGGGAAGCACGGACGACTCCATCGAGAACTGCACACGGCCCCCCGGGAGTTCATTAAACAGGTACACTATAGTAATAGACTCCCTCGCGACATTTGTTTGCGGCGGCACTGTAGCAGTGTTGTTTAGTCCTATAGACATACGAGAAACTACGTTTGTACCTTGTTTGGATTGGATGGCATCTTGAACGACAAACAAATACCGGCTGCCGTTGGGCAACGCTCGACACCCCGAGTACTTACAAAACCAATATTATTATAAACAAAAGTTTTGGACGTACTTCAAAGTAGACAGCGTCGCGGCTGACGTGGGTAGACTGCACGGGCATCTGGGTTTTGATGTATTTGACGCCGGAAAACTTGAACGAGTCGTCGGCGGAGGCTGCTTCGAACACGCGCACGACTTTAGCGTCCATGAACTCGCTCTCGTACAAGATGGAGGCGGAAATGCGAAGGTCGTCCGTGGTGGCGGCGTAAAGCCCCCACGCCAGGCACGGGAGCGACGTGTTGAGTGTGCCTGTGCACACGTATTTGTCCAGTTCCTTGTCCTGCAGCGACTTGCAATACACTCGGACGCCTACACACAATCTCTGTTGGTCGATGGTGGAATGTATATAAACGGGTCATTGAATATATTGTGCACCTTGCTTTTCGTGCTTCAACGTCCACCCCGAGTCGGTAGCAATGTTGATCGGCGTGGCCAGGGCACTTTTTAACAAGGATTGGCACTGTAGACGGAGCCGCGGCTCTTGTTCGTCCAAAGACATGCCCGACGTACTGGAAATCGCATGACTGCTATCTCCTCGACTTCCCATCGTGTCGTAACTGCTATGTCCTCGACTTTCCATCGCGTGGCTCATGGGCGTTGGGGGGATTCGTGTGCAGGGGGACACTGCGACCGACCCCTACTTGTACTTCGAAGTGTGATGAAACTGCCATTAACCGTTATTTCCTCATTAACCGTTATTTCCTGAAAATTGGTTTGCAGTTACAACCGAGTTAGATGAAATGATGTTTTAAACGTGCAGTTAGATGAAGCGTGTCGTGTTTTCATTTTCATTTTTAGTCCAAGGTTTCACCATCCGAACATGCGTAATTTCAAGAGGCTTCACAAAAGCGGTGAGATGTTCTGATCAGTGCTGAGACATCACTGGCCGGCTTCAAAACTCTCGAGCTACAGGTAAGTGGCACGGGGACGAATTGACTTTTCATGGATGCAAAACACGTCGAGTGCGGTGGTGTGGGTGATACAGCAAACTATATACTTCGTGGAATATGCACTATGTGCAGAACACTTGGAATAACTGAACAACTCTGGAGAGACTTGGTAATCTCGTTCGGCTGCTTAGCGTTCTTAAACCTATACGTTTATACCCTTTCAAATAATCACGTTGTATCCGTTGTATCCAACTATTTACCTTTTCAGTATTATTCTCACCATTATATCTGTATGTAATTATACTATCCATGTTATCCGGTGTAAAACGTAAACACGTTAAAGCCAGTCGCCCGACTGAACCCAGTCGTCGCGACCAACTTTTAATACTTTATCCCAGTCAAGTGCATCAAAAGCTACCATCATGTCCTCCATTTGATTAAGACATCCGGTGCTTGGTTACGGCCTCCAGGTTCGACCTATGGCATTGCAAGAAATAGCTGACACGTCCTCACGTGGTTGTTCGTGTCTCAAGGACCACCAGCCTCTTCCATCCTTCTCTGTTGCATTTGCCTCCCTCCCACACACACAACCATGGAATTCGAGCAGCTAGCTGTGAACTCGCCTTGTGCCGAGTCACACCTGCATCCGACGACGATGGACGTTGCATCCACGCAGAAGGACCGCGTGCGGGACGATGCCCAGAGGAAGCTCGAGTGGGCGTGCCTGTTCTGTATGTTGTTTATGTTTGTCGAGTTCTTGGGCGGGTACTTTGCCGGAAGCCTTGCGATCATGTCGGACGCCGCGCACTTGCTCAGCGACGTGTTGAGTTTCTTTCTGTCGTTGTTTGCCTTGTACTTGTCCAAGTTACCCCCGTCGGTAGGTCGAGAGAGAAATACCCCCCATCATCTCTCCAAGAGTTCACGATACTAATCGAATGCTTGGTCCGAGTAGAAGTCCATGCCGCACGGGTACAAACGCGCCGAAGTGCTGGGTGCGTTAGCCAGCATCGTCGTGATTTGGATCCTCACGCTCGGCCTCGTTTGGGCCGCCATCCAGCGCATCCTCGCCCTTCTGAGCACCTCTCCCGACGCCATCGTGGTGCCTCCAGTGAATGGAAAAGCCATGTTTATCGTCGCGTGCATGGGTCTATTGGTCAACATTGCGCTCATGAAGATCCTCGGACATGGCCATTCCCACGGTGGTCACGGGCACTCCCATGGCGGTCACGGGCACTCCCACGACGCCCACGGCCACTCGCATGGAGCGCCGTCTAAACAGTCGCCGGACCATCATTCCCACGATCATCATCACGGACACTCCCATGGACATGCCCACGATCATCCTTCTTGCGACCATGTCCACCAAGATCATGCAGACGAGAGCCACGACGACTGCGGTCGGAGCAGCTGCGTCACTGCATGCAGTTCCCACGACGATCATGACCTGGAAGAGCCCGAAGCAGAGTCGTCGGCGGCGCCCGGGGACGGGTGTGCGGCGGAGAACTTGAACGTGCGGGCAGCCTACTTGCATGCATTGGGCGATTTCCTGCAAAGTCTTGGCGTGTGCATTGCCGGCGCGTTGATTTGGTACGACCTCTCACTTGCAACTACTAGTATGCGCGACGGTCGATCGATATTGTTGAATCTTGTGTGTCACACTAATAATCTACGTCATACACTAATTTTGATATCGTAGGTACGAACCATCGTGGCAACTGTGTGATCCGGTCGTGACGTTGTTCTTTTCGGTGATTGTGGGCGCCACGACCGTGGGCATTTGCAAAACCACGCTGCACGTGTTGATGGAAGGCACGCCCGTGGAACTAGGTACGCCGTCCTCGGTCGTTGCCAAGCAAGTTGCTGATAGATTGTAGATGCCGAATCTTTGGAACGGGACATCAAGACCTTGGCGAGGGTCAAGGACGTGCACGATTTGCGAGTTTGGTCGATTTCGTCGAGCAGTTTTGCAGTGGCGATGCATGTGGTCGAAGCCCGTGGCTTGGAAGCGGGTGACGCGTCGTCGTCATTGGTCGTGGATGTGCAGGCGTGTGTGATGGCCCACCACGACTTTGAGTTTGTGACCGTCCAAGTCGAACAAGACCGAGACGCCAAGCTCTGTCCGTTCAACTTGCGACAGGTCATCCAGGTGGTAGTTTAATAACAAGTCGCAATAGTATGCGTATTGTTAGCTCATGTACTCGATGGTTTACAATGGAACCAACTTGGAGTACAATTCACTTCGTATGTTCCTTGAAGGAATAAGGTTATAAGGAACAGAACCACAATCCGGACGGCGTCCTCATTATACGTACTTTTAATACTTCGAAGTACATACAGAATTGTATTAATACTAACGTTATGTAGTAGTTAGTAAGTACTACGTAGTACCCATTATGAACCTCTCGACCAAGGAAAACCTCCATAATATCATATGATTTACGTAGAGAGATAACCTGCTGAGACCTTATACAGTGCGGGAATAAATGCTAAGACATTTCGAAAATAGACTGTTTCTGTACAACGAAATGCAACGGCAATATTGTGAGAGATGCAAATCATAAAGCTGTGCCTTGGGGAGGTTGTGACCATGATGGCATGTCTTCAGTCGCAATTGTTAGCAAAATAACCAACATAAGGTAAATGATCGAATTCTCGGACACGATTTGCTAACAACTTGTTTTTCGACTTTGATTGGACGTAAATCAGTAACTAAACATCATCTCAAAAATCTGAAAGTACCACTCGAAAATACAATTCCTGGAGTTTTTTTTACTGCCTCATAGATACTCAATCAATGATAATTGCGATTTGTACTAAAATAAATACATGGAGTAAAATTAGTGATGACAATTTCGATGCACCTTAATTCTCGGACATAGAATTACCTTACATTTTGTATTGAAGTAA